GGATGGTGAGGCCGGGGGCCTGGTGGTGTGTGGGATGGCCGGCTGACCCGGGATGGTGAGGCCGGGGGCCTGCTGTGGCTGGGGGCTGTGGGGAGGGGGCGCGCCTGGTGCTCCCACTCCTCTGTCTCGGTGCAGGCTTCCTCTTCCTGAACACACTCTTCATCCAGCGTGGCCGGCACGAGACCACATGGACCATCCTGAGGCGCTTCGGCTACAGTGACGCACTGGAGCTGACGGCCGACTACCTCTTTCCTCCGTGAGTGGGTCTGGGGCCGACAGTCCGGGTAGGTCTCGCTCAGCGGCCGTCTGGGGTCGTGCCCTGCAGCACAGGCCACACTGCCTGGCTGAGCCCTGAACCCCTGGGCATCCACAGAGCTCTGAGTCGGGGAGGGGCTGGCCCTTAGCAACTCTATGCTCGACTTGTTCACCCTGTTGGGGTTGGCAGATTGGGGTGTGGCCTGGGGGCCTCCACTGGGCCTCTCACATGCTGGAGCCAGATGGGCACCCTGCCCTGTCGCAGCGGCAGGGTTAGGGGTGTACAGGAGCGTCTGGGTCCTCAGACAAGGCTGGCAGGGTGACAGATACGCTGAGCGCTGGGGCACAGTCTCCTGGGAACTTGACACGCTGTCGCCTCCCTGCAGGCTCCACGTGCCCCCCGGCTGCAGCACTGAGCTCAGCCACCTCGGCTACCAGTTTGTGCAGAGGATGTTTGAGAAGCACGACCAGGTGAGAGCACGGCGACTCCCCTGCCCCCACTTCCCCGCACACGTCACCACAGCCCCTCCCCTGAGAAGTACGACCAGGTGAGAGCACGGCGACTCCCGTCCCCCCACTTCCCCACAGACGTCACCACAGCCCCTCCCCCGCAGGACCGCGACGGCGCCCTCTCGCCCGTGGAGCTGCAGAGCCTCTTCAGTGTGTTCCCGGCAGCCCCCTGGGGCCCTGAGCTTCCGCGCACAGTCCGCACGGAGGCCGACCGGCTGCCCCTGCACGGATACCTCTGCCAGTGGACGTAAGCAAGGCACGCGCCACGCCCCCCCACTGTGCCACCCTCCCCACCATAACGCTGTGCCTCCCGCCCACCCCCAGTCTGGTGACCTACCTGGACGTCCGGAGCTGCCTCGGGCACTTGGGCTACCTGGGCTACCCCACCCTCTGTGAGCAGGACTCCCAGACCCACGCCATCACAGGTAGGCACCCACCTTCCCTGAGCCTGGGCTCAGCACCCTGGCCGCCGCCCTAACCTGGGTCCCTCCTCACAGTCACCCGTGAGAAGAGACTGGACCAGGAGAAGGGACAGACGCAGCGGAGCGTCCTCCTGTGCAAGGTGGTAGGGGCCCGCGGAGTGGGCAAGTCCGCCTTCCTGCAGGCCTTCCTTGGCCGCAGCCTGGGGGTAAGCACCCTACATCCCCCACCCTAGGGGCTCCAGTGGCCAGGCAGGGCAGTCCGGGGAGCCAGCGAGTCTCAGGGCCTCCCCTCCCTCAGCACCAGGACACCAGGGAGGAGCCTCCCGGCTACACCATCGACACGGTGCAGGTCAACGGGCAGGAGAAGTACCTGATTGTGAGTGCTGGGGGGCCGGCCAGTGCCTGAGGGTGGACCCGGGGACACCCAGGCCTGCCTGGCAGAGCTGGCCCAGCACAGCCCTTGGGGGACCCAGCCCCAGGGACCCTCCCTGAGGTCACCATCTGTCCCAGCTCTGTGAGGTGGGCCCAGAGGGCCTGCTGGCCACGTCGCTGGACGCCACCTGTGACGTTGCCTGCTTGATGTTTGATGGCAGTGACCCGGAGTCCTTTGCACACTGTGCCAGCGTCTACAAGGTGGGGTCCTGCAGGGGCCACGTGGCCGTGGGGCAGGGTCTGTCCTGCCAGCTGTGCCTCAGCCACCCCAGACTGGACCTCACACTGCTGTCTGCTCACAGCGCCATTACATGGATGGGCAGACGCCCTGCCTCTTCGTCTCCTCCAAGGCCGACCTGCCCGAAGGCGTCCTGCCAGCCGGTTTGTCGCCGGCCGAGTTCTGCCGCAAGCACCGGCTGCCTGCTCCGGTGCCGTTCTCTTGTGCCGGCCCGGCCGAGCCTAGCGCCGCCGTCTTCACCCAGCTCGCCACCATGGCCGCCTTCCCGTGGGTACCCGGCAGCAAAGCCCTGGGCCCTGGCTGTGTCTGTCATCTGGGCAGTGGGCAGCTGTGGTGTCAGGCCTGCATCTGGGGCCAAGGTTGCGGGGTGGAGCTTTGTGTGGCAAAGGTAGCCAGTGCCCAGGCGTGCCCCTCCATGGCCTGGCGTCTGCTGGCTGTGCCTCTGGTCTGGGAACCCAGCCTGTGGGGCCCTGTGACCGTCCAGGACCTGGGAGGGTGCCCCGCAGCAAGTGGGGGGGCCGTGCCTGACGCATCTCTCTCTTGCAGACACTTGGTCTACGCAGAGCTGCATCCCTCCTCCTTCTGGCTCCGGGGGCTGCTGGGGGTTGTCGGGGCCGCCGTGGCCGCAGTTCTCAGCTTCTCGCTCTACAGGGTCCTGGTGAAGAGCCAGTGAGGGCCCTGGTACCCAAGCCCCTCTCGACCTGGGTGTGGCTCTGCTGGGGCAGCACAGCTGGGTGCAGGCCAGGCCGCCATGCTGGGAACACCCTTCTGCCTTTCTGCTTCTGAAGGCAGGTCTGTCTGTCTGTCTGCAGCGGGGCCTCGTGCTGCCACACACTGCCCTGGCTCCTCTCCGACCCCCAGGGTTCCACTGGGCTGTCGGAGCCTTGGCGGCTGAGCAGGAGTCCCGAGTACCGGCCATGCTGTTGGGCATTGCCCACCTTGGCAGAATGTGTATTGGCCTGGGGAGCACGGGTGTGGAAGCTGGTGACCCCAGACCCGGAATTCTCAGGGCTCTACCCGCCTTTCTGGTCCTGGGTGGCCAGTGGATATGGAGGGCTGGGAGGCGGCTCTGGGTGGGGGTCTCCCCTCCCTTGAATTTGGAGCCACAGCAGAGGACAGGAGGTTGGGGTTCCCAATTAAACTTCACTGTGTCTTTTCCATCTCTCGGATCCGTCTCTGAAGACAACTTACCTGGAATCAACCTCAAATGTGTTACTTGTCTTGATGTGGGCTGCCAATGTCATTCCTCCCTTAGTCCCTGCATCCCTGTCCTGAGGTTCCAGGGGTGTGTGTGTGGCCTCTGGAAGGTCCAGTTAGGCTGTGGCCTGGGAGCTCCAGCGTCCGATAGGGGGAGCCCACTGTAGGTGGATGGTGCGTGCTTGGCCTGGACTGGGGGGCGCTGGTGCCTGAGATGTTTTCCTGGTGACTGACCCCTTTCCTGGGGTCCAGTGTCCCCTTGAGCTGCCCACTCACTCCCCAGAGCATCTTGCCAGCCTGGCTGAGCTGTGCCAAGAACCTGGGCTTATGTGACCAGGGGTGATCACTGCCTGCCACAGCCCCAGGGCCCTGGCCCGAGGGGAGCAGGATGGGCTGGAGGGAGGGACAGGCTTGGAGTTGAGCTCGGATGTCTGCTTCTTGGGACCCACAGCATGGGCTTCCCAAGGCCGCCCAAATAACCGCAAGCCTGGCCCACACGGGCTCTGCCTTGGAGCTTGTGGCGTTGGGCCCTGAAGCCCCTCCCCTGACTCATGCTGTCTTAGCCCGCTGTACCCCGTGGCTGCCTGCTGGGACCACTGCATCCCTAGGAGGAGCCGTCTGAGTGGCCCTTGCAGGGGCTGCCATAGTCACACGTGTCTTGTCTGTTACCTCCGTTGTTGAGGCGTTGGTCCACTCTCCCAGGAGCAGGTCCCCTCACCCCAACTGCAGCCCTGCCCTCTGGGGTTCTGCTCTGCCCGAATGCCCCTTGTGTCCAGCCCTGGCGCTGCCTTAGGGTGGGAGGCTTTGCTCTCCTGCATGGAGCTGGAAGAGCAGTCAGTGGCCTCCAGCCCAGGGCATGGACGAGTGGGCTGAGCTTCGTGGTCAGAGCCCAGGCAGCTGCAGCAGGGTCTCCCTCATCCTAGGAGGTGGCTGTGCGGGGTGTGGGGCCAAGGGGGCTTCCTTGCTGCACTATAGATAGAGGGTGTATCTGCCCCAAGCAGGGAACTCCAGCCGGTTGAATGCATGAACTGCGTGGAGCACTGGGTCAGCCGGGAGGGAGCAAGCAGGGATCAGGGAAAGCTTCCTGGAGAAGGTGGCATCTTCACAGGCCTGAGCCCAGGAGGGCTGTGAGAGGGCGAACGGTCTTGTATGGGGGGTTTTAGGTGCCGCCTACCCCGTGACTCCATTTACCAGCTGCTGCCGCAGAGGTCGTCCAATGCGCTGGAGCTGCGCCAGAGCGGGGGTGGGGGCCGGCACTGGGACGCGGCGCTAGCTGGAGGCGGTTCCTGTCCGGGATGTGCGTCCGCGTGCAGGGTGCGCGCGTGTGCTGGCCGCGCGTGGCGCCGTGTGCGGCAGGGGCGGGCAGGCGGGCGACTCGGTGACGCGGCCCAAGCGCGGCGCCGATCGGAGCGGGCGGAGCGGGCCGGCTGGGGCGGAGCGGAGCGGAGTCGTCCGCAGAGCAGCCCCTCCCGGCCGCGGCCGCCGACCCCGGCCCCCGGCCCGGCTCTATGGACAGGAGCTCGCTGCTGCAGCTCATCCAGGAGCAGGTGCGTCGGGGGGTGGTCTGGGGAGCTGGCACCGCCCCCAATGCGGCCCTCCTGCCGCTGAGCTGAGCTTGTGCGGGACGGGAGCTCCCCGAGAGCCCCGCTCGGCACCCACCCCATCCCTCCACGACCTTGGCCCCTGTGTCTTGGGCCCCAGGAGAGGACTGACTGGACCAGGGCTCCTGGGGGAGGGGGAGGGAGAGAGGGTGGAAATGGGGAAGGGAGGGAGGGCTGGCGGGCGGCTGGCTGCTCTTGGACCTTGGCCCTCCCCTTCCTGGATGGGTAGGGTGGAAGATGGAACCCTGAAGAGCTGGAGGACTGGGACCTAGGCACCAGTGCCCTGCCAGCTCCTGGGATCAAGTAGGGTCCCAGGCAACAGGCAGACATGGGGCCCCTGTCCCAAAAGTGCCTGGAGCCTGAGCCTGATGCTCCCAGCCAGCCTGGTCCAGCCCTTTGGTCCAGGGGTCTGGCCCACACTCAGGCGTTGGTCGGCGGCTCCTCACTGCAGCAGCTGGATCCCGAGAACACAGGCTTCATCGGTGCAGACAGCTTCGCTGGCCTGGTGCACAGCCATGAGCTGCCTCTGGACCCGGCCAAGCTGGACATGCTGGTGGCCCTGGCTCAGAGCAATGAGCAGGGCCAGGTCTGCTACCAGGAGCTGGTGGACCTGGTCAGTGCCACAGTGGGCAGGTTAACTGTCCTAGTCAGAGGAGGTGGGCGGGTGGCCCTCAGTGGGAGGGCTCTTGTGGATGTGGGGAGCTGGGTGAGCCCCGCAGGCAGGGGTGCCGTGGGGAGGTCCGTGGCCCATGCTCAGGCCCCTGCCCTCAGATCAGCAGCAAGCGCTCCAGCAGCTTCAAGCGGGCCATTGCTAACGGACAGCGGGCACTGCCCCGGGACGGGCCGCTGGACGAGCCGGGCCTGGGTGTCTACAAGCGGTTTGTGCGCTACGTGGCCTACGAGATCCTGCCCTGCGAGGTGGACCGCCGCTGGTACTTCTACCGACACCGCAGCTGCCCACCCCCCGTGTTCATGGCCTCGGTCACCCTTGCCCAGGTGGGCCCCTCAGCCGCTGCCCCGGGAGCCTCCCACGCTCCTGGCCTTGACCAGCCTAACACTCGTGTCCCCAGATCATCGTGTTCCTGTGCTACGGGGCCCGCCTCAACAAGTGGGTGCTGCAGACCTACCACCCTGAATACATGAAGAGCCCCCTCGTGTACCACCCCGGCCACCGCGCCCGTGCCTGGCGCTTCCTCACCTACATGTTCATGCATGTCGGGTGAGTGGGGCTGCTGCCCAGTGAGGCCCCCCCAACCCCATCTGCCGTTCCATCAAAGGCTCAGCCTCAGGGCAGGTGCAGCAACTTGAGGAGAGGGCTGGGGGTGGGGCCTGATGGCTGACCCCACCCCTCATGCCCATTTGCTCCCATGTGGCCAGGCTGGAGCAGCTGGGGTTCAACGCCCTCCTGCAGCTGATGATCGGGGTGCCCCTGGAGATGGTGCATGGCCTGCTCCGCATCAGCCTCCTCTACCTGGCGGGCGTGCTGGCAGGTGAGGCAGGTGCACACCCCCGCCCCCTATCCTGGCCGGCCGGACCCTCACCCGCCGCTTGCTCTCACAGGCTCCTTAACCGTCTCCATCACCGACATGCGGGCCCCGGTGGTGGGAGGCTCCGGCGGGGTCTATGCCCTGTGCTCGGCACACCTCGCCAACGTCGTCATGGTAACGGGCTTGCCCGGTGGGGGGCGTGGGGAGGAGCCCCTGGCAAGCCTCACGGCCTCTCCTCTGCACACCCCCCTAGAACTGGGCTGGGATGAGATGTCCTTACAAGTTGCTGAGGATGGTGCTGGCCTTGGTGTGCAGTGAGTAGGGACTGAGGGGGAGGGCGGGGGGCCTCTCAGCCTGCAGCCGGGGCACCTCCCACCTGCCGCGTCCCTCTGCAGTGAGCTCCGAGGTGGGCCGGGCCGTGTGGCTGCGCTTCTCCCCGCCGCTGCCCGCCTCGGGCCCACAGCCCAGCTTCATGGCGCACCTGGCAGGCGCGGTGGTGGGGGTGAGCATGGGCCTGACCATCCTGCGCAGCTACGAGGAACGCCTGCAGGACCAGTGCGGCTGGTGGGTGGTGCTGCTGGCCTACGGCACCTTCCTGCTCTTCGCCGTCTTCTGGAACGTCTTTGCCTACGACCTGCTTGGCGCCCACATCCCCCCACCGCCCTGACCGGCTACCTGAGGCTGCACGGGCCATGGCTTGGCACATGGTGGCCGCCCCCCATGGGCCTTCACGCCTGCCCTTGTGAGCGGACGTCTCAGGGCTGCTGTGCCCCTCGGGTGTGGGTGGCCTCAGAGGAGACCCTGTCCCGGCCAACTCCCTACCCCCAGGACTCGCAGTCTGAACCTTTTTGGATAATTAATAAATATTTTACACAGCACCAGGGGGCTATCCCAGGCTCTGGAAACTTGTCAAGACCTCCACACCTGCTGAACGGACTGTGAGGGCCCTGCCCACCGCAAGAGCCTGGCTTCCCTCCCTGTGCACCTCTGCACCTGGGGTCACGTGTGGGACTCGTTCCCCGGGCCACAGGTGCTGTGTCTGTGGGAGTCAAGGGCACCCGGGAGGGCTGGGGATCAGGTGTGTGTCCAGGCCAGGAGTGTGGTCAGGCGAGTTTGGTGAGTGTTTATTGAGCTCCCATGGTGGCGGCCTCTCTGGCATCCAGTGACACCCGAGGCCTGAGGTTGTGTGGCGGGTGAGTGAGCCAGGGCCATAGCTGAGTCCACTCAGCCTGGGTCCTGCGCTTCTTGGCTGGCCTAGCATCCTTGTGGGTGGCCAGGCTGGGGCCAAGTTTGGGCAACAGGTGTGGGGACAGCCTCTGCCCCACGGCCCAGGTCCACAGCGCTGTCTCCACTAGTTGAGGAGTCCACAGTCCTGAGGCACTGGCTAGGGAGGGGCACACGGAGTCAGGCCCAGGGCACATGCGCCCCCACCCTGCCCATGCACAGATCGCTCACCTTGGTTCAGAGCTCGAACCCAGCTCAGGGACAGCAGGTTGCGCGCCTGAGGGTGTACTGTGGGGCCAGAAGGCTGGGCACTGTGGCCACTGCCTCATCTGACAAGGCTTCTAGCTTTGGAGCTCCGGCCGCCAGGGCTGCTCTGAGCAGCGAGAAGACAGCAGCCAGACACCCCAGCAGGACAAGCTCTGGGAGACCCTGCTCCTGCTCCCAGTAAAACATGTAAGGGTCCTGACTGCCGGCTTCACAGACAAGGATGCCTATGCACTCAGGTCGCACCCACCCGACTCACCTGTGGTGGGCCCACATGGCGGAGGGCACACAGCTTTGCGACTGTGACCCCCGAATCTGGCAGGAGTCAGAAAGCGGAGGTCAAGCAGTGCACAACCAGCTCAGGGGAATTGCTGGCCACGAGCTGCTGCAGACATGGCCAGAAGCGGCCTCTCTGTGGGAGGCCAGGTCAGGGTGCCTGGGGTGGTGGACCCACCAGGAACCCGCCCGCCCGGCGCCGGGATGAAGCCCCGCCCCCACGAAGACAAGCCCCTAGGAGGCCCCGCCCACGAGGAAGGACCGCCCCGCCGATGCCACACCCTGAAGACCCGCCCTACGGAGGCCCCGCCCATGAGGAAGTACCGCCCCGCCCGCGGGCCGCACACCACCGGCAGCCTCCAGGCTGGCAGCCGCTCCAGCTCCCTTCGCGTCACGTGCTTCTCCGCTCGGCCCTTGATGGCCGCCAGCAACTCCTCCTGGGAAAGGGGATGAGGGGAGGTCCGGCCACGGGGACACTCGCCCTACGGATCCCTTTATCCCTTACCACTCTACCAACGGTCCACGGCTTCCAGCCGCTCTCGGGGGCCCGCGCGCGCTCGTAGCACCTATTCGGTGGCGCTCCAGGATGGCAGACCAGCAAGCCGCCGGGGTCCTCCTAGCTCCAGAGCGCGTGGGAAGCCGCCCTGTTCACGTGGAGGGGACGGGCCTGCTGTCCGGGGCGTGGCCTATGCAAATGAATCAGCCCTGAGGGCGGGGCTGGTTGCCAGGGGCGGAACCTCTGCAGACGGAGCTGTCTGGTGGGGGCGTGGCCGGCTGCTGGGGGCGGGGCCTCTGTGGATGGGCCAACTGCTGGGTGCGGGGCTGGCTGCCGGGGGCGGGACCGCTGCAGCTGTGCTCAAGAGCTGGGGGCGTGGTCGGCTGCTGGGGGGGCGGGGCCTCTGAGGATGGGGTTTTTGCGGGCTGGGACAGGGGCGGAATCCCACGTGGGCGGAACAGGCTTTTAGGGAAGCACGCCCTCAGCGAACCACGGTAGGCATCTCACGGGGAAAATCGAATGTATGGGACGGCCGCCACCAAGGCCAGTTCTGAAGAGGCCTCAGAGGGGCGGGCCGGGCTCCGCGAACGCCGACCCTGAAGAGCGCGGGCCCAGGGATCCGGAGGGTTCTTCGCAGTCCGCGACGTCGCGGGCCCACTGTCCCCGCCCCGGCTGGCTGGGCGCACGCGCGGCCCTACCCGCCCCCCGACGCCTGCGTCCCCGCTGATCCCGCCTCCGGCCGGAAGTTCCGGCGGGGGAGCTGGGCCGGGCCCGAGCGGATCGCGGGCTCGGGCTGCGGGGCTCGGGCTCGGGCTGCGGGTGCAGGGCCGCCAGGCGCGGAGCTTGGGAGCGCAGCCCAGGCCGTGCCGCGCGGCGCCATGAAGGGCAAGGAGGAGAAGGAGGGCGGCGCGCGGCTGGGCGCTGGCGGCGGTAGCCCCGAGAAGAGCCCGAGCGCGCAGGAGCTCAAGGAACAGGGCAACCGTCTGTTTGTGGGCCGAAAGTACCCGGAGGCGGCGGCCTGCTACGGCCGCGCGATCGTGAGTGCGCCCGTGCGGGGAGGGCGGCGACGGCGAGGCGGAGGGCCAGGCCCGCGACCGGCCGGCCCCGCCGAGGGTCTGGCTCCTCCGCGGCGGGTATCCTGGGCCCCGAAAGCCCAGCATTGGTTCTCGAGCCCAGCGCCAGTTGCCGGGGAACGAGGGTGGGATGCCAGATGGAGGCCGGCCGGGTGGGTGGGAGGCCAGGGGCCCTCGCCCCTTGAGGACCCCCGGTCCAAAGCTGGGACTCTCCAAAGATTTGGAAAACTACAAAACCAACGGAAGTGTGTAGGCTGAGCCAGTAGTCCCCTGTCTGCAGATTCTTGGACGCAGAGGCTTTGACTACTGGGAGGTTTAGTTTCTTCAATCTAGCCATATCGCAGACGCTGGGACGGGCCCTGGGACAGAGGGGGCACGCTGAGCCTACGCCCTGATGCGGCTGGCCCGGCCTTGGTCCGTAGACCCGGAACCCGCTGGTGGCCGTGTATTACACCAACCGGGCCCTGTGCTACCTGAAGATGCAGCAGCACGAGCAGGCCCTGGCCGACTGCCGGCGCGCCCTGGAGCTGGACGGGCAGTCTGTGAAGGCTCACTTCTTCTTGGGGCAGTGCCAGCTGGAGATGGAGAACTATGATGAGGCCATCGCCAATCTGCAGCGAGGTTGGCTGACAAGCTGCCCGGTTGTGGGGCCCCTGGGACCAGGCGGTTGGACCGGCCAGGGTGACTTGAAACCCTTGTTCCCTAGCTTACAGCCTGGCCAAGGAGCAGCGACTGAACTTTGGGGACGACATCCCCAGCGCTCTTCGAATCGCGAAGAAGAAGCGCTGGAACAGCATCGAGGAGCGGCGCATCCACCAGGAGAGTGAGCTGCACTCCTACCTTTCGAGGCTCATTGCGGCGGAGCGTGAGAGGTGGGACCCTTACCCCAGGCCGCCCTGTCTGGGGATAATTCTGAATAACCAATCACCAACACGAATGTTTATTGGTTTTACTGGTGAGCGGTAAATGTGAGGAAGCAGCCCAGATGTTAGCTTTGAGGTTGGGGTGTGGTCAGATATCTCCTGGCCAGGTCTGTCTCTGACGGGCTTCTGGTCATCCCCCAGGGAGCTGGAAGAGTACCAGCGGAACCACGAGGGTGATGAGGACGACAGCCACGTCCGGGCCCAGCAGGCCTGCATTGAGGCCAAGCACGTGAGGGTGCCCCCATCCACATGTGGGTCTGTGTGTGTGCACGTGGCACGGGAGCGTCCCCACCTTGCTGTGGGTCCGTGTGTCCCTGCCCCGTGTTGGGTCTGTGTGCCACAGAGGAGGGAGGTGGGGTGTCCCTCCCAAGCACTGCTCCACTTTCCACAGGACAAATATATGGCGGACATGGATGAGCTCTTCTCTCAGGTGGATGAGAAGAGGAAGGTGAGTGTTGCTGTGGGTGGCAGGTGCTGGCGCATGCCCCTTCCCAGCCTCTGACCCTGTGCCCATGTGCCACAGAAGCGTGACATCCCCGACTACCTGTGTGGTAAGATCAGCTTTGAGCTGATGCGGGAGCCGTGCATCACGCCCAGTGGCATCACCTATGACCGCAAGGACATCGAGGAGCACCTGCAGGTGAGGCTGCAGCCAGGGGGTGGGCAGGGCCAGCAGCACTGTCCTGTGCCCGCTGAGCACCCTCTGCCTGTTGTCGCTGCAGCGTGTGGGTCATTTTGACCCTGTGACCCGGAGCCCCCTGACGCAGGAACAGCTGATTCCCAACCTGGCTATGAAGGAGGTCATTGACGCATTCATCTCTGAGAACGGCTGGGTAGAGGACTACTGAGGCTCCCCGCCCTGCCCAGTGTCCTGGCCCAGGAGGGCAGAGGCCCCAGCCCCTGTACATAGTTTGTGTCCCTGGCCACCCTGTTCCCCTCCCCCCAAGTTCTGCTGTTGGGCTCTGGACTGTTCCCTTCTCAGCACAGCTCTTGCTGGGCCGTGATCCTCCCCGTCCCCCCTTCTGGGCTGGAAAAGCAGGTGAGGGTGGGCTGGGCTGAGGTCCCTGTGGCCACTGTCTGTGTAATAAAATCCGTGAGCACAAGGTGAGGGAGTACTCTGTGTGCCAGGAATGCCTGCTGGCTGCTCCAGTTAGCCGAGGAAGGTGGAGATGAAGACGCTGGTGTCAAGATTGAGCGTGGCATGCCACCAGCGGTCAGGGAAGTACAGCACCTGGTGGAGGAAGGGGTGCAGCAGAGATTACCTGGGGGCCTCTGACTTGGCCCAGTCCCCTCCTGCCAGCCACTGACCTCACCAGCCCGGATGGTGCACTCCAGGGGCCGGGCAGACGGTGGCAGGGCTGGGTATGTGTCCCGGAGCCAGGCCAGCGTGGTCTTGTTGGGGTGGAATTCTGGCGTCTTCTCAGGTGGGTAGAGGAACCAGCGCTGTGAGCAGGAGCAGTAGCGTCACCCTTGCCCATTTTGGTCATCCAACCCTGAACCCCAACACCCACCCCATGCTGACCTTGCGGCCGTAGATCACCTCTGAGTACCCAGGCCCGTGCCAGTGGAAGGGCACCCCCGAGCCGGCTCCTGTGGAGTTATGAGCACCTGGTGACACACCTGTTTTGTACCCACTCTCAGAAGCTTCACTCCTCCCAGTCCCAAGGAGCACCCACCTGCGATTCCAAAGCTGTAAGCTGGAGCGGTACCCGGCAGACCAAATGGGGGTGGGGAGTAGTGCCGAAAAAGCGAGGCCCATTCAGTGAAGTTGTTGTCCCCAAAAAAGTACAGGGTGTCTGCCAACAGAGACGGTGGAGGCAGAGATCCCGGCACCTGGAGACTCCAAGCGTGTCGCCCCCCAACTCCGACCGCCATACACGGCTAACTCACCATTGCCTAGGGAGCCGGGGTCCTGGGGGTGCAGCAGCTGCTCCACATACTCCTGGAAGGGCAGGTCCACTGCAGGGAAGGGACGGGTCAGGACCGGCTGCTGCAGCCGTCCCGGTGTGGCAAGCAGGCGGGCCCCGGGGTGGGGCAGCTCACCTTTCCGGTAGGAGTAGGTGTTGGCGGTGCTCAGCCGGACCACTCTGTCTCCAAACGACGCCAGCAACCTTTCGCGGGAGCACAGGGCCCGGAACCTCTGCGGGGGCGGGGGCGGGGGCTCAGTGGCCGGGCCCAGCCCGTGCGGCTGTGACCGGGGACGGGCGCGCGCTCACCGAGTTGTCCGTGAGTCCCTGCAGGATGACGGGCCGGACGAACGCGTAGCTGGAAGGAAGGGCAGGGTCGCGGCCGGGCTCGACCGCCACCCGCGCCGCCCCCGCCCCACACGCGCGCGGGACCTCGGGGGCGGGCGGGCGGTCCGGGCGCACGTACTGCTGCAGGAAGTCGGCGTAGGTGAGGTCGGCGCGGCGCTCCACCTCGCAGCGCTCCTCCTCCGCCACAGCCCCCGGCCCGCCCCGGCGCCTGCGGGCACAGCCGGGTCAGCCCGCGCCCGCCCCGCCGCACGTGAGCCCCCGCCCGGCCCCTCCCGGGCCGCTCACCACCCGCCGTCGCCCTCCTCCCCCGAGCTGGGTAGAACCAGAGCCGCCAGCGCCCAGAGCGCGAGCAGCCGCGACCCCGGCGCCATGAGCCCGCCGCCCTCAGCCCGCCGCGCTGCACGCCGGGAAGCTCAGGCCCGTCCGCCAGCCATTGGCCGGCAGCTTCGTCGTCGTGGCAACCGCCGGGAGCCCGCACGGGCCCGGAAGTGACCTTCGCCCCGCCCCGGAAGAAGTCTCTTGGCACCGCTGGTTACCACGGCGACAGCGCCGCAGAAAGCCCCCGCGCACCGGCTGCACCGCGAGCACACTGCAAGCCCCCGCGCTGACAGCGATTCCACTTCCTTTATTGGGGTTTCAAGTTCCAGCCTCCGCCCGTCTGAGGCACAAGACCAGGCGGGGTTCTGCCGCGGCCGGCCGGGCGGTCAGGTCCCGAGGCCCCAGGGGAGCCTAGCAGACGCTCAGGAGTACTCGCAGAGGTGCCCGCAGCCCGCGGGGCAGTGGGAGCTGCCTTCCAGCCACTTCATGATGTGCTGCAGGTGGCCGCCGTGGCTGCAGCCCTGGCACCACACGAACAGGCCCTTGACAACGTGGTGGCAGACGGCGCACATGCTGGCGCAGCGGTGGCACCTGGGGGCGGGCGAGAGGGCGGACGCCTCAGCGGGGACTCCTGCGCTGCCTGCAGGCTCCTGCCCCACCTCCCGACCCCACCGCCCACCTGTCGCAGACCCAGCCCCGGCTGCTCATGGGCCGTTTGCAGTGGCTGCAGTTGACGTGCAGGGTGGTGGAGGCCTGGTTGAGGCAGCTGACGGCACGGCTCGTGCTCAGCTTGACCACCTCGTTGGACACGTTCCACAGGCGGAAGCGCTGCAGCAGGTCGATGTAGGAGGTGTACCAGTGCTCCTGGGAAAGGAGTGCCTGGCGGTCAGAATCTGGGTGCAGGGCAACGCGCTTCAGAGGCAGGAGGCCCCGCCCGCCACACACCTGGGTCTGTTCGTCGATGTCCTTGCGCACCCGTTCACCCAGGACGATGAGCACAGACACAGCCATCTGCACATCGCCCTGCTCAGCATAGAAGTGCAGCATGTCCCGCACCAGCACGCTGAAGAAGTCAGGCGGCAGGCGGCTGTCGTAGAGCGCGTGTGAGACGGACAGGAGCGAGAAGGAGGAGTCCACGGGAGCCAGGGAGGCCACATCCGCCTCGCTGCCACTCACGTGAGGGGAGTCGGCCTTGTCCTGCAGGTGCTCGGGCCCGGGAGGTGTGTCCACAATCTCATGGCGCAGCGGAAAGGCCTCCTGCGGCAGCACGCACTCGGGCTCCTCGGCTGGGACGCCCGGGCGAGCAGAGGCTCTGAGCCTCCGTCCTCCATCCACTTCTCCACCCGACCCCGCCTGGACCCCACTTACGGTGCGTGTGTTCCGGGTCCAGCAGGTACAGTTCGTCATCCTCGCCCTCCACGTCACCCAGGAGGTAGTCGGCAGGTACGTCACTGCCCTCGGTTTCTTCGTTATCTGCCAACATTGGGGCCAGCATTCAGGGTCCTGTGGGATGCCCCCGCCCACTCCTGCCAGCACTGCCACCCGCCACAGCCTACCCTCATTGGTGATGAGTGTGGCCGAGGAGTCAAGCAGAACCGTGTCGCTCCGTGCGTCTCCTTTGCTGCGGTCCAGCCGGGTCTCACTGCCCAACCCTGGGGCCATATCCTTCAGGTTGAAACTGAAGGCAGAAAAGACCTATGGGTAGGTGGGCTTGAGCAGCCCAAATCCTTGGGGAGAGCTGCCCCTGGCATCTACCTGTTCATGAGCTGCAGGCCACAGGAGCCACCCTTGCCCACGCTGTGGCTGAGGTTTGCGGTGGGCAGCAGGCCAGGGCTGCAGTAGATGGTCCGCAGCATGGTCCATGTCTGCGCCACCTGGGGGCAGGCACTGGTCACTTGTGTGGGTCCTGGTAACCCAGCACCCCATGCAGGTCCCCTTCTGCCTGGACAGAATCACAAGCCCTCAGCATTCAGCTGCCCCAAGGACCCAATGTCTAGGCCCACCCCAGGTAGGGAAGCTGAGGCTCATGGGAAGAGAAAAATCCCAATCTCCATCCTACAGCAGCACAGAGGGAATGGAATTAGGCGGCGGGGAACTGCAGGGCAGCAAGAGATGGGCATGGGGGCAGCAGCTCACACGTCTACTGCTGCCAGTGCCTGGAGAGCTCCAGAAGCAAGAGAGCAGAACAGAGAGCTTGACCACATGACTCCCCAGACCTCTGCCCTGCAGAGGACAGTGCCGACTCCGGCCCACCCTGGAGCCTGGCCCTGTGCGATCCTGATACCCTCAGCTACCGCGACAAGGGCTGTTGGTAGGCCTGGCCAGAGCCCATCGCTGAGCTTGAAGTGGGGGCGGGACAGCCAGCAGGGGAACCAGCCCGGGCCCGCAGTCTCACCACCCGCCTACCTGGTTACGGCAGGGGAACCAGCCTGGCCCACAGTCTCACCGCCCGCCTACCTGGTTGCGGCCAAGCTCGCGCGCCACCTTTGCGTTATGGTCACACAGCTCGGCCAGCGGCCGGCCGGCCAGCGCATAACGCTCAGCTGTGTCCACAAACCAGCGCATGGCGCCACCACCCGGCTCTGTCTCAAAGACGCTGAGGGCGCTGGAGGCGAGGCCTGCGAAGGGCTCGGCAGGGTCCAGCTTGCGCTTAAAGAAGATGGGGTGGCGCCGGTCACCAGTGTAGGGCTTGCGCCCCGACTCGGCAGCCACGAGGCTCTCCTTGGCGGCAAAGGCCAGGTCCCCGAAGAGGCCGTAGCAGAGGCCCTCGGGGTTGGCGCGCTCCACGGGCTGGCTGGCGTCACGGAACAGGTGCTGGCACAGTGAGCTGTCCTTAGAGCCGGACAGCAGGAAGGAGGGGTCGTGCGGGTGGCGCCAGGCGATGCCCGTGGTGACATCTCGGTGCTCCTCGAACATGGCAGCTGGCACGAAGGGCCGGCGCACGTCCCACACGTAGATGTTGTGGTCCACCATCATGGAGCATGTGGCCAGGTGGTGGCGGCACTCCGGCCGCCACTTGACACGGGCCACCGAGGCGATGGTCTGCACACAGTGCATCTCCTTGGCACGATGCGTGGTCATGTCCCAGACCTTCACCATCTTGTCACGCCCTCCTGTGGCCAACCAGCCCCTGTGGGAAGGCCCCACCCAAACTCTCAGTGGCCTTTCCTGTGGACAGGGGACCCCCCAGCTCTGCTGCTCCCAATTGTCTCACAGGTCTGAGGCAGTGAGAGCCTCCTGTCAGCCGGCTGCCCCTGCACCCCCATGGCACACCTATCTTCAGGGTGCCAGTCACAGCAGAAGACGGGGCCGTTGTGGGCCGTGAACATCCTCTCACAGCGGTCGGGGCGCCGGATGTCCCAGAGCTGCACGTTGCCGTTCTCGAAGGTGGAGGCGAAGGTGAAGTAGTCCCGGATACTGAACTGGACGTCCCGCACGCTCTCGGACTGGCCTGCAGGCAGGGCGTCAATGCAGGGGAGGTGACGGGGTGGCCCACGGGGTGCCCCCTTGGAGCAGCTGTGGAATGGTGTCACACACCTGCCTGTGGCCCAGAACAGAGGCCCAAGGGAGCAGCCACATAGAGTCTCCACAAGAGCCTGGGCCCGGGAGCAGCATGCCAGGTGGTTTTTCACATCCTCACAGGCCCCATTTGCGCCACATTCTGCGTCCTGCATCCGCCCATGAGCAAAGCTGGGGTGCAGCCTCAGGACACAGCAGCTGAGCACTGGGAGTACAGGAACCCACCCAGTCATCACCCACTCCCACGGCCTCCTGGGGGAGACCCAAGGAGGTGCTAAGCAGGGTGCCCCCAGCCTTGGCACAGTCCCTTCACCTGGAGCCGGAGCTGCCTGGTCAGCCCCAAAAGACTGAGGGACTCAGGATCAAGGTCCACCCTAGTGGACCACCATACCAAGAGCCTCTGAGGGTGTGCCCAGCCTTCCTCCAGGGCCCTCCAGGGCAGGCAGCTCAGGATCTGTCTTAAGTGTCTTGTAAATTCTCTGAGGCCCCTGAGTTCCACATCACCTCATCTCTTCGTGAACAAGGGAGAGCTGGCTCAGGGTGGCCACTGGTGCTGGGCCCACTAGGAAAAGGGCCCCGGGACACTGGATAGCAAACCCACCTCCTCTGCCTCCCCAGGCCAGGAAACCTGGAAGTCCTGTCAGACTTCCTGCTGTGAGGCGGCCTCTGCAGCTCCCAGGTGAGGGCAGGGAGTCACCTGGGCTGGCTTGGAGACCGCTGGACTTGACCCTATCTCACCCCACATCTAGCCTCAATTTCTGCTGGTCTTATCTCTTGCCTCTTCCCACTTCACTGCCCTGGGTCACAGGCAGCCCAGCCCAACCTGCCCCACCCCTCCCTGCCGATTCCCTTTCCCCTGAAAAAGCCCTCTGGGAGGCCGGGCGCGGTGGCTCAAGCCTGTAATACCAGCACTGTGGGAGGCTGAAGCGGGTGGATCACGAGGTCAAGAGATCGAGACCATCCTGG